ACACAACAGAATCCGATGTAGTTTTTCAAGCTCTTTCTAATGGTGAAGTCAATTTTACCCCAAAATGTCGTCATTTTCCCCTTAATCGTTTTTACCACGAAATTTCGTGTTTTATATCCCGATCGGGATACTACTTTTTTTCTAGATCCTGATCGGGATATAGCTATATCCCAATCGGGATATATATCCCGATCAGGATATAGAAGGTGTCCCCTTACTGTCCGTTACACGAAAATAAATGAATCCCATTCTGAAAGCGATAAAATGTAAAATATCTGGCAATATATAAGTAGAAATTATTATAAGTTATCCATATTCACTGTGCTGTACACCCATAGTGAAATTTGTTATTTCAATTAAGTGTCCTTACCCCGAAGGTTGCCGGGGCATCACGTATGATTTTCTCCGTCGTTGTTGTCGTTCTACGGATGTGACGATTCTTTTGTCACAACTTTTCTTTCTAGTACGTATATCTTTCGGGAGGACTACTCTCCTTTGTTTCGTTCTGTTCATTGTCTGTTTTTATTCTTTTCGTACTTTGTTCTTTTGCAGTTCTTATCTTTTATGATGCAGTAGTAGATGTATATATTAGGTGTTTTTCTTTTGTAGTTTGTGATAAACAGTAGTGGAATAAAAGACTGATACTACATATCTTAACGCATGCATACAATTAACTCACAGACTTATAATGAGAGGAAATATAAGTCGCCACAACGGGTACTTGTGATTGTACTCCGGTAAGAAGTTAAAGAGAAATTCAAAATAGAACTAATGTAGCATTTGTGCGTAAACTCCTTTGATACTTACAACTGTATCTGTAACAATATTTAGCTTTCCCTAAAAAAACAGTTATATCATACGTGTATGAAGAAAGAAGAGCCAAAAGAATAAAGATTGGATATAAAATATTAATCAATCTAATTGTGAGGAAGGTCGAATTAAACTATCAGCCCAAACGGTCTCCAACAAATCTAAATATACTAATTAATGAGAAGAGACCTAAACAAACAGGTAAATCCTTACCAGACAGAGCAATTGACGAAATGGTCTTAATATTTGTTTCTTACATCGTTCTAACGAGACTGTGGTTGGGTAACAGTATCAATGCAATATGTAGTCTAAACGAAATATGAAATTAATTTCTTTCTTTAGTTAACTAAACTTTTTAGGATAGATATTCATATGTTTCGAGCTAAACGCATTGACGAACCCAAGTTTTACAAAGAACAATTCTTAGTTTTTAAATCTTTTAGTTCAGACATGTTTTAACAAGAAAATCCAGCCTTTTATTTCTACTTCTCTTATTGAAAGGAGCTTCAAATAAAAACAAAGAAATGAAGAAAATTTCAAAACCTTACTAAAAGCCGATGGACTAATACCTCGATTTTTGGCCAATTGTGATCTTCATCATCGATTGTCAATTTTGAACTGTTACTAGTATTATTAGGATCTATTGCTTCCTCTTTTTCAATGCCATTGGAATTTGCATAATTATAGTTGCTAATTGAAATAGTTATGGGCTAAGATAGAACAGAAGTAGAAGATGCAGATGTACGTTTAATCAAAATTAAATAAAAGTATTTACTTCATTCGTGATGCACCAAGAAAATATTTGGTTTAGGATGATCTTATAACTTTTCGTACTTCAAAGCTTTTTGCTGATGAGACCATTATTAATGGTGTTTCTTCATCAGCTTCTGCACTATTTTTAGTTGCAGTTGTTATTGTTGGTGATAGTATTTTAACAAGTTAGCCGTTTGTCTCCAAGGATGGTTGATAGGCAGAACAACCACCAAACCTTTCTGTATTACATATGAAGAACTAAACGATTTTTCAAGGACGTGTAATAGTAGTTTTGACGAATTATAGTTTTTTCTTTCTTTCTTTCTTTTTTATTTTAGTAGTATACCATGGTACATAAAAAAAGTTCAGACATAAGAATGACTTGTAACAGAAAGAAAGAACAAAAAACATCTAATTCAGAGTTTCTGCCTATCATGACCAACAACTAAAAATAGCAAAAATGATGAAAAAGAAGATTTGAGACAAAGAACCACTAAAAATGAAGATGTTATTTTAAAGCCTTTTTAAAAGTTTGGAAAGAACTGATGGAAACGACCTTTTCTAGATCTTTAGCATTCCAGTCCTTCAAAAGAACGATGACTGGACAGTTTCGAAAGGAGTGAAGGGTATGTCGATCGTATAAGAATGCGCTGCTGGGAGAGACCTAGAATTCAATTTAGTAAGATAAACCTGAGATTCGAGAAGAGTCCGGTTATTGTGAATTTTGTAAAATGATATGAGTCGAAAGTACTGGCGTCTGACACTGAGATCAGGCAAACCTAGTTTATTGACTAGAGATAGACTATCAGTTTCGTAATTGAAGTTTCTGGTAATAATGGGACTTGCTAAACGCTGAACCGCCTCTAATGGTTCAAGATGGGTGGTGAATTTAGAATTGTAAAGTGCACTACAGTAATCGATTTTGGGTAAAATGCAAGTAAGATATAAAACTAAGCGAATTGACTGAGGTGCTTCTCCGAAAATTCGATTAATAACACCGAGCTTTTTCCGACAAGATGTTGCTACTTCGCAAATATGTGTTGCCCATTTCATATCGTGAGAAAGACGCATACCCAAAAGTTTAGGATCGGTATCGAGCAAGAGCTTCGAGTTTAATAGAGTTAACTTGAAATCGGGCTTTATTTTAGGATCAAGTGAAAAGTAAGTGTATGAACAGTTGTCAACGTTGAGTGACATATGATTTTTTTCATACCAGTCTGTTACTCTGTCTATTTCAGCTTGAACTAAATTCTGAATAACAGAAGTATTTTCCGATTTTTTGAACGTCAGAACCACAAAAAGGTCATCAGCAAAAAAAACTATCTATCACAGACGACGAAACTGGCGCGGGAAAGTCGTTTAGAAATAAAATAATAAGTAAAGGGCCAAGGATGGACCCCTCTGGCACCCCTGAGAGAACCGGTGACTGGGAGGAAAAGCTCTCGCCAATTTTGACAAACTGAGTGCGCCCTGTAAGATAAGATGAAAACCAGTTAAGAAGACTCCCGTCGACACCAAGTAGTTTTAATTTATTTAGTAGAAGTTTGGTCGATAGATGATCGAACGCTTTTGACAGATCAAAACTTAACCCTATGCAATGCTCTTTTTCAGGACTTGCCTTATTTAGGCTGTTAAAAATAAAGTGAGTAACTCTTAGTAGAGCATCTAACGTTGAAGAAGACGGTCTAAACCCAAACTGAATAGAGCTTAACAACCTATTGTCGAGAAGAAAAGATAACAAGTGCTTATGAATAATCTTCTCAAGAATCTTACTTACAACGCATAGAAGTGAAATTGGGAGATAATTTTCGATTAAGGATGAGTCTCCTTTTTTATATACTGGTGTTATACTGGTTACTTTCCACTGAACTGGAAAAATCCCTGTTGAGATTGAAAGTTTAAATATGTGTACTAATTGATTTCCGAGAACTGGTAGGCATAACTGTATAAACTTCAGCGAGAAACCATCAACTCCAACGCTAGCGGTGTTTTTCATAGCCCCTACAGCTTTCACCACCTCAGTTTAGGTCAACCAGTATATCAGAAATCAATGGTCCGACTAACTTGGGTGCTGTTCCAGAGGCAGAAAAAGTATTTCAAACTGACGAGTAACATGAATTAAAATGGTTGTTAAACATTTCACAAGTCTCTTTTAAAGGTGAAGAGGTATAACTAGTTCTGTCCGTAATAAATTGAGGAATGGATAATTTTCCACTACGAAACTTATTAACAGCAGCTGTTCTGACAGACTTCCAGCGATCAAAAGCCGTATTTCTTTTGCGCATTTTTAGCCGAGTATCTTTGGAAAGTGCTATGTTGGCTTTTCGGAGTACATTTACGCGCTTAAGTGGGACGTACTTCTCAATACAGGCATCGACGAGTGTCTGCCAAACTCTTACACTATCAGAAGGATCAGTAGCGTTGTAAAAAGATGGACAAATAGCTTCTAACGTCGGGTGGAGTAGTGCTAAATCACATGAAGCAAAAGCGCGAATAAATTTGTATTTGGTTTGTGGGCGCGCGCGTGACAGAAATGTCAAATGAAAAAAATAACGTAAAATGCATAGATTTCCCGATAGGAACCTGATCGAAAACTTTTGGAGCTTTCAGAACAGAAGGATAAAGTAAATAAACTAAACAAGAATCCTATTGCTATTCCTATTCCTTGTCTCTATCAGCATTGAAATCGCCTGCGATAAAAAGAATGTCATAGAGAGAAGGTAGAGAGAAATGGAGAGAGGACTCAAGCTGAGTGAAATATCCGTCTCTAGATTCTTTAGGTCGATAAGAATTACAAATCATAAAGATACGGTCGTTTACTATAACCTTCACTAATATCGATTCTGTGTTAGTGTCAGTCGCGATCAAGAAGCACTGAAAAAGATCTGGAATGTAGATGAGGACTCCTCCTCCGCGGCGATTACGATCACGCCTGAAAATAGAGTACCCAGGTACGCAGCATTCTAAATCTGATATCTCTGGTGATAAAAAAGTCTCTTGCACACATATTATATGAGATTTAGCAGATAGTATAGTTTGCTGAAGTAGCGTTAAGTTGGCAAGAATATTTTGAATGTTATGATTTAAAATAGTAACAGAGGAAGAACGAGATAAAGTAGTTTTAGATTGCCAAACAGACGCTAATGGATTAACGTCAGCTATCACAGCTGAAATGTGTGGCAAATTGCTAGAGAAAGCGTTGATAAGAGAGAGAGGAGAGAGTTCACACAGAGACAAAGCAGAGTTAGAACTATCGCTACTGGGTACAACAAGACTAAAGACAATTCTTTAAGTATTCGTCCAGCGAACTACTTAGTTTGAAAGTACCTGAATCACTTAAATGATGTCCATCACCGGCTATCATATTACGCTTATCATAGTCAATCGATATCAGATCAACACCCATAGTGGTGGTTAGAGATGCTAATCGTATGTTGTGTTCATTTATGCCATCATTTAACTCTTTAACTGAGGCTTTCAAACCACAAATATTCATCGGAGATACGGTGGTTAAAGCTAATTTCGTATTTGGATAGGATTTTCCAAATGTTGAGATCAAAAGTTTGGTTTTATCCAGGACATCACTCGGTTTGTCATATTTCAGATTGGTTGATCCAACACAAACAATGAAACGAGGCGACGGTTTGAAGTGTTTTTCCTTGATAAACTCAGTCATTCTCTCGATCCCGGCTCCGCGTTTCGTATAAACGTGATATCGAAACGATTTATCTGGGAAATCGATTGTGCCATTTCGAAGACCTTGAACAATGCTCGAATCAGCTATTGTCACTAATTCAAACTGTTTTGTTTTCTTAACTAATTTATTGTGTTGAACAGTAAGAGATGAATCATTTTCATTAGGTTGATCTAATGATTTGTGAGGACTGGATGACGCAGAGCGAGGAAAAGTTTTCCTATGTTGAACTGGTTTGGATGACGAAGTGAGATGAGTACGACTAGACCCAATCAGATTATCCATTTGTGAAAAGATTTGACTCGACATTTGTGGCGGTACCGCCGACTCAGACGAAGATACAACAGCAGGACAGACAGAGACGTGTTGAGAGCAGATAGTTTTTACCAGAAGATCATGTTGTTTAAGTATCATTTTTATCATCCGTCTCGATTGATCACGACTAACGGAGACATCTCCCGTATTCGATGAACTGTCCATTGATGATTCATTTGAATAGTTATCTATCTGGTGCGATAACTTTTCTATCAGCTTGATATATTCATCATTGGTTAAGTGCGACAAATCATCGAGTGTTTTTGTAAGAGAATTCAAATGCGTACGAATAATCAAATGCGACATGGACGAGGATTGGACAGGGTGCGTAAAAATGTTTTTCCAGGGGGGTAACGCTATAATTGCGAATAGGGTAAGTAATGAATTTTATACCAGATGAAAGCCCGTCAAAAACGGGATTTATTGATGCTAAATAGTAAGTTTTATCAAAGCATTTTAGTGTCGAACTTAAGAAAGTTTTAGAAATTGTACACTTTTTTGGGGTAGAAAGATAAGACGCCAATTATTCCAGTGCAGAATAAACATTTTTTCTTGAACATCTTTACATAGTTCGACAGAGCTCATCGAGCTCTACAAACCTGTGAGCGTTGAAAAGTTGTTAAGTCACTTTTTCGAAACCAAAGATTCAAAAAAATACTTACAAAAACCTCGAAAAACGTTAAAAAAACTCATTTTTTAAACGAATGGGAAACATTCGATTTTCCAACGCAACTACCTTTTTTCGTTATTTGTACAAACACAGACGCTTCCAAATGTGCTGACTAGATGGAGTTTTTTCCGCTGCATCTCCTAAGTGTATTTGGAAGCGTCTGTGTTTGTACAAATAACGA